CAGTTCTTTCACTCAATCAATCATACGCTCAGCATTTCGAACGCCTTGCGGATAGAGGCAGCCAACCATACAACAAGCTCGGTTGGCGTTCAGCCTACATGCTTGCCAGATCGGGAGGGTTATGTTGTTCCAACCCCGGGAGTCCGAGGTTACGCGTGAAGATTTCAGTCACCGTGAACTTTAGGCACCAAATGGAAGTGGTTTTGATTAATCGGTTTGACTCAATTCCCATCCAACTGATTACCCCTGGTTGTTCAACCAGGTGGAGAACACCGGACGTTCAACCTTGACCTCCCATTTTAATGAAACCAGTCCCGCTAAATGAAGGCAGTAGCTAGGAGTCCTTCAGTAAAAAAGATATTTCAAATGATTTATCGTTCAGGAGCATGCCTACGGAGAGGAATTCCGGATGTAATGAATCTGGAGATTCTCATTTCAGATGAGATCAGGTCGTTTGGAGTGTGTATAAAATGTTTTTCTTTTTGTTGATTTCGTTTTTGTTGTCCTGTGAATCATATAATTGTATAGTAATAGGTCCCAGCTTTGTTATCATTATAGTTTCTCCTTGTTGGACATCTAAATTCCCGTCTAAAATTTGGAATTGAGGCTTGAACCGGAAGGTAGAGCTTGACAGACAATCAGACAAACAGTCTGGATATAAATCATGCATTTCACACTACTACTTGTGAGTAACTGGTAATTGAAAATGTAAAGTTGAATTCTGCCTACCATATTCGCTTGGCGATAAGTAATCGCACGCGATAGAAAGACCAAAACTGATGGTAGGCTTTGATTGGAATGAATGAACAGGTTGCCTTCTGTGCGCCCCGTTCCGTGGTTGAATCGACATTGGACTGATTTACCTCTGAAAATTACATTTAAAAAAGAAACAGTGAATTCAAAGCAATGTTTTCCCGTCACTAATTTGAATATAGAAGTCAGAAACGTAAGTTTGCAATAGGTGTCCATGGTCATTTCGCTGCACCTGCACACGTGCACGTACCGTGGTCAGAATGTTTTTTAAATTCATCATAGTGATTGCTGTAAAACAAAGACAAGATCACTAATCACGACGGATAACAAGATACAACAACGCAAAAACGGAGAGGATGTAGGATTCGACTACCAAGGCAAAGCTAATGTCGCGAAACATTCTCTTTGTTTGTATAGATCTAGTTAAAGGGTATAAATGGCTAGAGTCTCCGCAAATTTGAGTAACTTTATGTTCGTCATGTCGTAGATGATCTGAAATGCTTAAATTTGAGCGACACAATGTTTTTGTTCGAATAAGTGTTCTGTTAACGAAGATCTATTCCATCGACTCAACACCATTCATCAAAACATCAAACTAACTAACTGAACAGGCCGACCGCATCGAGTTTCTAGGTATAAATATTAATCTTCGACCAAATGGATCAACTGAAACATCTATCTTCGGAAAGAACACGTGGTTTGGGCAATATTTGCATTTCGCGAGCTTCGTCCCCCTTGCTATACAAAATTGGTCTCAATCACACATTATTTCGTCGAGCGCGTGGAATATTCTCGGAGGACTCTTCAGACGACGAAATTGAACTCTGCCGTCAAGCGCGTTCACTATGCAGTTGACTCGGTGATTGTCCTCATCACCACCCGGATACCATTGACATCAGCGAATGAACCATTGAGATCCTCCGCCTAACTGCATTTACCAATGGAAGTATGGATGCTCGGTATCTACTTAGGTAGTACAGAGAAGCAGTTACTTCACCGAATTGCTGAACACATCCCGGTGTGGCTTAAGAGAGCGATGTACGACAAGTTAAAAAACTGTTATGTCATCGAATGATCAGAAAAGACTTATATCTTTGATAACACAACATTTATTCACACACACCTGAATCCAGACTGTGTGCCAAATAATTCATGGTACACTAATCTTTATAGAAAGAAAAACGGTCCATGATTTGCATGTGGGCGCAATACTGCAAGGCTGTCCAGGCCAAAGCAGGTGAATTTTCTTGAGGAATCCACAACCGGAACATTTTGGCTAGCCCAAGCCTTACTCGCAAGGCAGCGGAGCGGTGTAAGAAAACCGCAATCGATTGGGGGCCGGTATTCAGTTCATCGGATCATTCGTTCTTTGGACGAGGTCAAATGTCCAAGATACCTTATATACCTCGATGACAAATGGAGCCGGTGACCACTGCCACAACCGAAAAGGTGTGGGTGTGGTTCGCATGCCTTCTATTGGTTGGTTTGGAATTAGGGTTTTTGGTCAACTACCGTAGATGAACTACTAGTGGTTCACCAACCCGATTTTAAACCCGGATGTCGGCTTTCCGTCCTCTCACTTTGGTGTGAAACACCTCCAGTAAGCAGTAAGCAGGGCTTCCTCAACAGAGGCTATTTGAGACGCTTGCTTGTATGGGAGCATTTCGCGAGGCGCAAGGGGAGGGTGACCGACTGTAAACAGACACCCATCCCCGACCATACTGAGGCTTTTGGAGACAGGCGATTCACCCGGACCGAAGGACAATGTTGCTGCTCAGCTGAATTTTCACCTGCGGCTCAGTTGCACTTTGACCCGACGAATATGTGTCTCTCAAGTAGCCATGGTTGAACACAAATCACAAACCCATCAACTCTTGATCGATCCAGTTTGAAGAAAGCGCTTTTTGCATTGTTTGACGATTGAATCGATCTGCTTTTCGCTTTGTCAGGAATAAGATGGTTGAATTCCTCGCGTGTTTCCCGAGAACTCAGACCTGACGGGTTGAGCCAGACCGAAAGTGTGTTTTGTTATTTTTTGTCAAGTCCATCTGGCAATGAATGACAGCTGGGACTTGCGTTTTCATGAGCAGCGAAAGGTGAACACAAAGCGACCGGCTTTCCTCACCACGAGGACACACACAAACGGTTGTGTGGATGGCCTTGTGCGGTTTGATCACCCATGACCATTGGAGACAAATAATTTCGTCGGGGTCAAAGTGCAACTAAACCGCAAATGAAAATTCTATACTCAACGGCAGCAATGTGTTTTCGCCTTAATGAATCGCCTGTTAAATTTGGGTGGCATGATTCAAACGAACCTGTTCCAAATCACAGGATGGACATAAATTAAGTTACCTGGAAGATAATACAAATTTATTGACAATAGAGCGAAAATAAATGGATAACATAATAATTAGCATTCTTTTTTTGTATGATGAACTCGTCGTGTAAATGAGGCTTGAGCTGAAAAACTAGGAAGCTCTGGATAGCTGTTTCGATCTGGTTAGGCCTCATCAGCAGCCGTGCACGAATCCGTCAGCCCTTGCTGGGGATCGGACCCGGGAGCTCACAAATGGAACGCAAGCATATTACCAACTTGGTCACCAGGGCACGATATCGCACAAAACATCCATGCGAGCTTGTATTCGATGAAAAAATCACATAACTAAGCTGTTAAAGTGAAACGCTCATAATAGACAAAACGTGTTGGGTATTTAGTATAGAAAACAAAATGAAGTGAAACACTAGACATCGTGTTCATACATCCCTCGCTCCAGACCACAATGTTTACTACCACCACCACCACCACCACCACCAACAACAACAACAACAACAACAACAACAACACCACTAACACCACCAATAACAACGACGAAAATAAAAACAACAACATAGATTGCGCAAAAATGGTCATGTTCATTCATTTTAAGCACTAAATTCTGAGTCTGCATTTCAACTTTATCTTTTCTACATTGATAAATCCGATGATGAAATCAAATAAAGGCCGAGTTTTCTAATATCTTTCAATTAAACACGAAATCAATAATTTATTCTGCGCAAAACCAGCAACTTTGATCGCTAGCAAAATATTTCCAGAGCATGTGCTCGATGCCGCTCTCTGATTTGAGAATATTGGTTCCATCTCATCTGTCGCTCATGGCATCAATGTCTGCCTGTTTCCGCCAGTTACAGAATACCGGTACAGATGGTCACATGCTTGCCGCGGGGCGTCAGAGCACTTTGTCGTAAATATCAATAGTACTCCAATATGTGTATGAAACTTCCGAAGACGGAAACTGGGTCAAGTACGCAATCCCAGCGCGTAAATCAATCGTTCAAGGTCATTGTACTCGACTACCAGATCATATCCGCGCATTTCTAACCGGAGTACGGTTCCTTTGTGCCTGTTTGTGAGCACAAACATGACTGCGTTGATCGGAGAATGGGAAGCGGTCGGGCATGAAAATCTGACTGCAATTTTGGCTGAAATAGGTGAGTAACATTCATCGCGAAATTTAGTCCAACCTGAATATGTGTCTGTGTGTTCCGTTCAAAGGAACCCCGGAACAGGTACAACGTGATGTGCAAGGAATGCGTATCCGAGTCACATTGGATATTCAAGCCAATGAGATATTTGTACGTCAGTCGTTCGACGATAAGTCGTTTGAGAACACATTCGTGCTGGGAAAAGAAATGCAAGAACTGACGCCAGATGGACGCATTGTGTTGGTAAGTTTTGGCATGCCTACCGGGGGGGGGGGGT